AATGCAGATATACAACATCCACAGCCTTACCCTTATAAAGCTCCCTTGTCACACCTTCAAAGAAAACCAGTAAATTAGATTGGTAAGACCTTCCTTTCATGAACCCATATTGGCTTTCATTTATGATTTTATTTCGGTCCGGATGCTCCATGATTTTATCCTTAATAAGTCTCCATCATTTTACCCACATTGGATGTCAAACTTACTGGTCTGTAGTTCCTGGGTCACTTTTAATGATAATAATAATTATTATTACTGGTCTGTAGTTTCCTGGGTCACTTTTGTTACCGTTCTTAAAAATAGGGGGAGCATCTGCCTTTCTCCAGTCCCACGGCACCTCTCCAGTATTCAGTAATTTTTGAAAGATTTGTGCCAGCGTTTCTGCGACTTCCTCCCTTAGTTCCTTCAGGATCCTCGGATGCAATTTATCCGGCTCCTGAGATTTATGTACCTTAAGTTTATACAGCTGTTTGGCAACCATGCTGATAGTGATATGAATAGTGTTGCAATTTTTCTCTGTGACATCCTTGAGTTCTCTTTCCAGATCAGAGAGGTTACCTGTCTCCTCCTTGGTAAAGACTGATGCGAAAAACTTATTTAGCACTATTGCAGCCTGTGCAGCATTATTTGTCATGTTGTCTCCCGAACCCACATTCAATGGACCTATTCCATTGCTTATTTTTCTTCTATTCTTAATGTAACTAAAAAAAACTTTTTGTTATTATTCTTCACATCTTTTGCCATATTCAAGTCAAAGCTTTTCTTTGACATTCTGATACCTTTTTTGCAGTCCTGGCATGCCTTCTGTTATTTAGTCCGACTTATTTCCATGGCATTTTCCTTCATGGCCTTAAATGCTTTTTTTTTCCACTTTATGATTTGCTTTTTAACCCCGTCCAACCTGGCAGGAGTGTCTTTAAGCTTGGTACCTTTGCTTCGCATGGTTACACATTGTTCCATTGCCTTCATAATCACCTCCTTGAAGGAACTCCATAGGTCCTCCACTCCCATTGCCATAGTTAAACCTGCCAGGCCCACTCCGACTAGACTTCTCAAGCGCACAGTCAGTCCTCTTGAAATTTGGCAGTTTTATTTGGGTTTTTATATACTCAATAACTCTTGAAATGCCTAATATGACTACATTGTGATCGCTGTTGCTTAATGTTTCTCCCACTTTTTTGTTGGAGATTGGGTTGCCCTTGTTGCTCATTATCAAATCCAAGATGTTATCTCTCCTTGATGGCTCTTTTACAAACCGAGTAATAAAACAGTCTTCCTTTAACTCTAGAAATCTTTCCCTATTTTACCAATAGGCACATTATTATCCCAATCAATTTTGGGTAAGTTAAAATCTCCAACTACTATGGTCAATGCCTTCCTAGTCGCCTTCCTTATCTCATCACACAGTTCCAGATCAAGGCTTTCACCCTGGCTTGGGGTTCTATAGCAGACCCCCAGTAATAGGTTCTCTCTGTTACCATCTTTTAAGTCTACCCAAATTGATTCTGTGTCTGCCCTTTCCTTTTTTATTTCCTGTCTCAATAATGGAGCTTATATATAGTGCCACACCACCTCCTCTTCTCACAATATGGTCCCTCCTAAACAGTTTATAACCTTCCAGGTGAGTATCCCATGGATTGGATTCATTACACCATGTCTCTGTGATGCTAATGATGTCCAACCTGTCACCCCCCACAAGACCTTCCAGATCACACATCATTTGTCAGACTTCTTGCATTAACGCAAGTATAGCTCCATTGTTTTTTGTCTTTCCCATTTACTTTATAAGCATTTTTGTTTCTTTTACACCAACCTTTGGAGTTAGACCGGTTATACTGGTACGCCTTAAGGTTTTCCCTAATCGGTTTGGGTGCTCTCTTACATCTACCGCAACTAACCCTATGCCTAGTTTAAACACTCCCTAACTAAACTATCCATCCTGCACGCCAACACCTCCACCCCCACTTTTGTTTACGTGGAGCCCATCCGGTCTGTATAGATGCCCCCTATTCCAAAATGGGGATAGAGGAAGTGTTCCAGAGGTTCGGGGTGTAGTGGCTGAAAGTGCAACCACTGATGGAGGAACGGAGGGCACGAGGGACATGCAGGAGGCCAGAGCCAGTCCAGCGGAGGCAGCAGGTAGTGGGTTGGGGGGTAAGCAGGTCAGAGAGATAGGGAGGTGCCAGGGCATGAAGGGATTTGAAAACAAGTGACAGGATCTGGAAATTGACCCGTTCAGCTAAGGATCTTGAAATCCACCCATCAGGTTCAGTCCTGTTACCCTCGCGTTATTTTTTCTGCAGTGCACTGACCAATAACTAAAACATGTGGAAGAATGATGATAATTGTATTCAGAACTTAATTGTAATCAGTAGAAATGTTTAACTGTATTTAGACGTCCACAGGATGTGTGTGTGAGTGCCATAATTTTCATGGCAGATAATGATCAGTCGCCATATTCTGTGTGACATCTTTCATAACATGGATCGAGTGAGCCGGTGAATTGCATCTCTGACAGCTTGTTTTTACTCCTCCCTGATCTGTAACAAGGGGGTAAGAGGACTTTGTGGACACCCAGTAGAACTGGGACACAAATTCTAAATGTATCAGCCTGAACGGAAGACTGTGAGATCAGATATTTGCTTCTGTAAAGCAGTGCTTGTGTGGAAGACTGTAAAGGAGCTGGGTAGGACAAGAAAGAGTTGCATGCATATGTGGTTAGTACAGGCTCCAAGGATAACAGATTGTATTGCTTATAAACTCTGTGGAACACTGTGTCCTGGGAGAGCATGGAAAATTGGGACTAGAGAGGTGGTAGGGGAGGAAACTTAACTGTGAGAAAGCACCGAGGGCTGATAGCCAGACCAATGAAACAATTTAGCTACCTTCAGCAAACACAGTCTATGAAAGCTACAGGTTTGACAGGCCAAATAGCCTTTCCTTGTTCAAACACAGAGAAGGAAGCTTCTCCTGGCGTCCTGACCAATAATGTGGATTTAAGAATTGGTTGTTCACTTCATGTCTGTTTGTAGATTGTTGTGTATCATATTCGCCTACAAAATACTCAGTATTTACACTTTGCAGTAAAATCCTTCTGAGTGCTTTGCGACCCCCCCCCGCTGTAAGGGAGCTGTGCAAGGATTAGTGTTATTTTGTTCTTCGGAAGAGGCGTAAAACCTAGGTTCTGTCTGCCTGTTCTGGTAGACGTTAAAGATCTCATGGCACTATTTGAAAAGAGAAGGGAGTTCCTGGATCCAACATTCCCTTCAATAAAAAAAGTGGTCATTTACTCTTTGGCTGTTGGTGGGACATTGCTCCATGCAACAAATTACACTTGTATAGTGCCCTTCACATTGGAAAAACATCCAAGGGTGGTGGACAGTCAGGGGTTTTTGGACCCAAGCTACTAGTTGAGGTCAGGATTAGTGGAGGGCAGGGGGTTGGGGGAGGGAGGGTGGCCGAAGGCATGGTCGAAGAGAAAAGTCTTTAGACGGGACTTGAAGGAGGCATTAGAGATGGTGAGTGTGGAGACAGAGATGCTGAATAACCGACCACCAATGGTGGGACGGGAAGTGCAGGGGACCTGAAGCAGGCCGTGTCCACCGAGTGTAGGGAGTGGACAAGCTGATATAGGGTTAGGAGGTCAGAGAGGTAGGGGGGTGCAAGACCATAAGAGGGCTTTGAAGGTGAGAACGAGGGTTTTGTACTCGATTCTCTGAGGGATGGGGAGCCGATGAACCCGAGCAAGAACAGGGGTGATAGGTTCCCGGAGCCTAGTGCGGAAGAGGACAGGAGCTGCACAGTTTTGAATAATCTGCAGCTTGTGGAGGGAAGAGTTGGGAAGTCAGGCGAGCAGGCAGCTGGTTGCCGCGCTTCGCTCACAAAATGCAGTCACTCTACTTTATGGTAAATCCTGTGATGCGCTTTGAGACGTCTTGACGACCTGATAAGGCACTATATCAAATGCAAGGATTATTATTATTATTATTGGGAAGAGGGGGTGGGGGGGATGAAGAGGTCCACTGGAATATGATGAGGAACTGGGACCCTGACTGATTTTATTTTCACCTTCTTATTAAGCACAGAATAAAATTATAGGGCCAACCCTCCGAGAGCTGAGATTTTTTTAGATGAACTGTGCTGTTACTCATATCTGAGTTACTTATATCTCGGAGTCCTGTAGCTCAGTGGTTAGAGCACTCGCTTTGCAAGTGAGAGACCTGAGTTCAATTCCAGGCAGCGCGAAACCTTGGGCTAGTTTCCTTACTCCACACAGAGCCTAATAATAATCCCTCCAAAACCAAAAACAATAATAAATTGGTCATTTTCAATCTACGACTGTTTGTGGGACATTGCTGTGCGCAATTGGCTGCCGCGTTCGCCCACAAATATACAGTCAATTCACTTTACAGGGTGTTCTGTGAAGCGCTTTGGGACATCCTCCCGACGTGAAAAGCGCTATATCAAATGCAAGGATTATTATTATTATTATCTGTAAAGATTGTGTAATATATTATGTATAATATATTATTGTAAAGCGACAATTGTCAGTTCACTGTAGTGGCAAATAATCATTTTTCAAATCATTTTACTGCATGCTTGCAGTGGTAAGTCAATGGCAAAATAAAAGGTTTACAAAGACTGACCTTGGGATACCTCTGCCCGCAGAGCGATTTAATGTGTATCTGCACACTGTAAAATTCTACTTTAAACTGTATAGGATCAACTTATTAGAATAGAAAATACCAAAATCATTCAGGAAATAAAGGATGTGCACTGCAAAAGGAAAATGCAAAGCAAAAAAAAATCCATTTTATTTCATTTAAAGACGATGAGTCTTTCCTTCTAGTATTGCTGAGGGTTTGGACTCCTGGGAAATTGATCACAACAGGTAATCATAGTTCCTTTCCGAAGCTCAAGTGCTTATTACATTCTGGTGACCGCAGTGAGAGATGTCCATTGTCTATAGCTGGCCTTGGGATTCCTTGGGAGTTTTTTTNAATATATAAAAAAACTAAGCCATTTACTTTTCTCTCAGTGTAAAATGTTAAGAGTCAACACTGACTTTTTTCTCTCTCTCCACAAAAAAAGAGCAGCAAGATACCCATACAGACACCACTGTACTTAAACCTGGGCGGTTTATTAAGAGACTGCCCCCGTTTTTCTTTTTAAAAAAACATCCACTTTGCAGGAGGTCAGCGTTTCTCTTCCATCTCGAAAGCTACAGAGTCCAAAAATATCCTGCAGGATGAAATTCAATTGAAATCACTCTTTTAATTGCCCCGCAGGCTGCTCAAACATCAAGCACTGGCGAAAAGCAGTGCGTCCGCTGTTAAAAAGTCACCGAACCCCCTTTAACTTTCTTTCGTGCACACACAATGACGTGGGCTACTGACGCTTTGCACAAGAAACCTTCAAGCAGCCCGGATTAACCAATAGAATTTTTTTTTATATAATGGACACGGGGTTATGCAAAGGTAATCCTCTACCACAACAAAAAGTATAAAAAACAACCAGTCCGATTGAGGAACGACAAGTCGGCCCCGTTAGTTGTTCTCGATTTGTTCTAGATCCAGATCACCACAGTCCAGGGGGAATATTCCTTCTTCGGTGCTCTCGCAATCGCTTGTGTCTTCCTCGCTCTCACTCGCGCCCACTTCCTTCCCGCAACTCCTTGAGCAGCAGCCGTCTCGCCCACCAGGGATGTGGTACCTGGCAGGGTCATGCTCTTTGATGGGGCTAGAGCCTGGGGTGATGATGCTCATTAAAAGGTCGCTCGAGTCACACGGAGACGATACAATTGTCTTCATATGGTGGTCGTCGTCATCATCATCTTCATCATCATCTTCCTCATAGTCCAGAGAGCAAAGGCTCTTTGAGTTTTTTAACGTCTGAAAAGAAAGCATAAAGGGGAAACTATTTAAAGAAAGCATAAAGGGGAAACATCTGGGATGAAGGGGCTAAGGCCCCCACACACGCCAGCCCCCCCGACAACAGCCCCCACCCCCGCTCACACACCAGCCCCCCCGCCCCAACACCGGCCCCAACACACACACACAACGCTGCCCCCCCCCCCCCCCCACAACCAGCCAGCCCAGGGACTTGCCGGTCCGGTCCCCCCCAACACAACCACCATTCGCCCAACAGCCCCCCCACCCCAACCACCATTCCCCCTAACCAGCCCCCACCCAAACAATACCCCCGTCTCACCCGCTTCCATCCCACAGAGGGGTGGGAGCTGAGTGTGTGAGAGTGAGTTGGGGTGGGGAGAAGGTGTGTGTTTGGAGGGGTGGGGGTGGGAAGGAGAGGGGGAGAAAGGGTGTGTGTGTGTCTGTGTGAGAGTGTGTGTGAGTGTCTGTGTGTGTGAGTGTCTGTGTGTGTCTGTGAGTCTATGTGTGGAGTCCTGTAGCTCAGTGGTTACAGCACTCGCTTTGCAAGCGAGACACTTGGGTTCAATCCCCGGCCGGGAAACCTCGGGAAGTTTCCTCATTCCACCGCCTGACAATAATCCTCCAAAACAAACAACAATAATAAATTGGTCATTTTCAACCCACGACTGTTTGTGGGACATTGCTGTGCGCAATTGGCTGCCGCGTTCGCCCACAAATATACAGTCACTACACTTTATAGTGTGTTCTGTGAAGCGCTTTGGGACGTCCTCCTGACGTGAAAAGCGCTATATCAAATGCAAGGATATCAAATGCAAGGATTTAAGGTATAATGAGAAGCTGGTTAGACAGTCTGTATTCCTTAGAGCTGAAGAGGGGTTTAAAGTAATGATGGGAATTGACAGCTACACAGTGGACGACTCATTTCTGGCGAGGGATCCAAACCAAGAGGATACAGTCTTAGAATTACAGCTAGTCAAGAATTAAGAGTTAGAAGTGGGATTAGAAAACTCTTCACACAGAGTGTTGTGAGAATGTGGTCTAGGTGAGAGGAATGGGAGAGAGAGGCCAAGAGGCAAAAAGAATTAGGAGACGAAAAGAATCGGAACTAGACAAATATCTTAATTAGTCAGTTACAGGGGCAGGTTAACAATAATCCTTGCATTTAATGGGACAGAGGATTGCACGAAGGAGACTCACAATAGCCTTCTGTGCTGTAAATTTCTATGGTTCTAAGATGTTGGTACTTGGGAAATAAGATGCTAAATTGTATGGCAAAAGGCTATGTAATGGGATTACAACTGGCGAGTTGGGCTGAACAGCCTCATCCTGTTCCCAAGTGAGGCACATGGAACGAAGTAGCAAAACAGGTGGTGGAACAAAGAACTAAATGGTTTCAATTAAGAAACTGCTAGGTTTCTGGACATTAGAAGGATTCAGGTTTACTGGGCGATGGGACATATTGAGGAATCTTTGAGGAATTGGATGAGTAGCCACGAAAATGAAATAGCCACTAAAGCTTTTCTCTCAGGTTGGGACCTGATAGAGGTGGATGAGATTCGCCCACTCTAAACTCCATAACCCCACTGCCAGGCTCCATTGGCTCCCTATCACAGAATGGATCCACTTCAAGATCTTCACACTCATCTACAAATCCCTTCATGCCTTGGAACCTCCCAACCTCTCTGACCTGCGTACTCCCCACACCACCACCAACTACCTTCACTCGTCCCCTCCGCTCCACCATCGGCAGCCGTACTTTCAGACACTATTTCCGGAAATTTAGGAATCTCTTCCTCAATCCCTTCGCCTTGCCCCCACCTTCCCCGCTGGAAGACACTCCTCTTTGATCATGGTTATAGTAACCTCCTCCCTCCCTCCAGCTGTGCCACTATTAAGCGCTCTAAGATACTGCCCCGAGTGTAGGGTCTTAACCATAGGGTACAGCGCAGAGCAATGGATTATAAGTAATAACCTCACCAAGTAAATACAACAATCTATCTGGACAGGATGACCATAAGTCACTGCAACAGTTGCATTGAGGCTGCTTTAGTGGAATGGATCGGTAGTGGAGGTTTGAGTTTTTCAGGATCATTTGCCTATTATTTCAGGTGGACCTTCTGTGGTAAGTCAGTTAACTGAGCCACTCCAGTCTCTTCACATTAAGTGTGCGCCTGCAATCTTCAGACACATACACAAACTCAGGTGCAGGAGTGACAAGTAAAGCATTCCTCCGCTCCTTTCCCACGTGTTTCATATTCTTTAAAGATGCAATTGTGTAATGATAGACAGTAAAACGCGTTGCCTTTAAGTACAGGAAATGACTTGTACAATCTGGAGCTGTAACACAGGGGAGTGGCTTCTAATCAGGATTTACTCTGGTTGCGCAGAGTAAACACCAGAAAATAGCTGATCACTGCAACTTCTGAATGACATAACTGCAAGGGAAGAGAGAGAGAAAAAAGGGACTTTGAAAGGTCAATACCAGCAAACAATCCTAAGACAGGAGAATGCAGTAAATATTAACCCTTTGATGGAGCAGCATGTGTTAATTGGTCTGCAGTACATCCCATGACACCATTGAAGGAGCCATTGGTTCCACTTGTTGCCAGAAAAACATCACAATCATACCCCAATACTGCTGCAGTGACGATGGCTGCTCTCAAGGAAACTGCGCCCTATGGGACAGGACTCAACACCTCATTGCTTCTGCAACATGGCAGAAATAAAAATAGCAGAGCTTGATCTAGAAAGGATCATGTGTAAGACAGGACACTCACTGCATACTGATGTTCACACACACTTAAATTTATAATTATATAAGAAATGTAAAGCTAGGAAAATTTGAAGAACTCAATTCCTAATATCTCACAGATTGTTGGCAACTGAAGCAAATTTCTCTCTCGTACAGTCTGGGCTGTGAGTGCGTGCACAACTCCACTGTGAGTGAGTGTACAGCCCGGGGGTGGGGGGGGCTGGGGTGGACACAGCCCAGGTTCTGTGGGTGTACACAGCCCAGTGGGGTTACAGCAGTAAAATACCACCTCCTCAGTTACCCATGATCCAATGGTAGTCTCACCCCTAGAGCCATTTTTCTACATTATACAAATGAACAGCTATTAATCTAGCTTCAGTTGTTGTGGGTTCACAACTTTCTGACTCTTGAACACCATGAATCCAGTTTAGACTGATGCTCCAATATAATGTTGGGGGAGCGCTGTATTGCCAAAGACGCTATTGAACTCTAAAATTGGTCATTCACTTCAAGGCTGTAGGACAAATTGACTGCAAAAATATACTTGATAGTAAAATCCTGTGAAACACAGATGTCTCCTGAAGTGAAAGGCACTATGTCAAATGCAAGAATTATTATTACACTGGCTGTCGAATTCATGCCCAAACAGAAGGAGCAACAATGAAGGGCAGTGTCCTCACACCACCTTCATGTGGTGGGGTGACTAACAGGGCATCCAGATCAGATTACTGCAGCACGAATGAGTTGCCATTGGTAGCTTTCAGGGCACAATGACGTGATGTTATCCTGTAGCTTGAGCACAGCCCAAAGATCCAAGGGACTGAAACAAATGCAACAGCATACGCCATGATAAACAGAGACATAAAACAGAGGTGTTAAGTCTCATTGGGATATTGAAATCTTGGAAGTTTTGTAATAAACACTAGACAACATGGTCCCAAGACGTCTACTTCTACTTTCGTCCCGTTCCCCACTCCATGACCCACTGCTTAGATACACTGTTCGGGCAAACGCTAATTTACAGGTTGGAATTCCTGTCTGTATGTTAGCTGATCAACAGTTGAAGTTGCTACAATTAGCTACTGAACCCACTGCATTTGGGATGGGAAAGGATGTGGATCACATTGAGCAGATTTATGGCTTCTGACTGCTTCAAGAGTCACAAAGGATGGCACACGTGTGTAGATGGACAAAAATCAGCCTCAGGTTTATTTCTTCCCATGGTCTGATAATCCACAAGAGACACACACACATACCTACATAAATACACACATACATAGACACACACGCAAACAAACAAGGTTCAAAAACTTAATCCATATAATGACTAAATTTGCTCTATCCCATCGTTGATAGCCAAACTTTCAGCTATTATGGCCTCGCTTGCTGATCAATCCCCCAAACACCTTTGTAGTGTGTCCTCTCCCTATCTAGGAGTATCTATCCTCCACCTGCCTTCAAAATCCTGAACTCCATCTTCAAACTCTCACTTCTTCCATATCTGTTTGTGTAAATCACTTTGAGACAACCATCCTGTATGAAAGGAACTATATAAGTGCAATATATTAGATCTGGTGAGTGTGTGCCTGTGTGTGTGGTTGGAGGGGGGAGCACATAAGAAAGAGAAACTCGAGAACATGAAATTCAGGGCAGATTGAACCCACTTGGTAACATTTGTTACAGGGTACCTTTGTGTTTAATGTGTTTTCGTTTCCCAAGGCCTCGAGTGTTGTCCTTTAGTACAGGCGGAGTGCAAACACAGGAGCTCACTTCATTAAAGATCATTTCTGGCCTAATTTCATGTTGTGATCCCCACAGTGAATCTGAAGGAAGCGAAACGCCAGATGCTCTCAGTGTCTACCACCTTCGTAGCGCTCTTTCACTGCACTGAATGTCTCTAGCCTCTATTCAGAGCTAAGTACCCCAGCCTGTTATCTGCTGTCAGAGAACAAAGCCCTGGTTTGTTCACAGCTCAGTCTTGATGGTTGATTATCATCTCGTGCCTCAGTCTACCGCTATCGGTTTTCCTTCTTCCCAAGCCTGCTGGAATTTGAATTTTAAATAGATGTCCTTCCCAGGAACAATAGATAAAAAAGACCCTTTGATTGTTCATGCGTTGCTCAAAAGAAAAGGCTGAGATCTGTCTTGGCTTCAGCCTGGCTGGATCTCATCTACCAGCTCCCATTCCAATGGGAAGCTTTTTTGCCTAAAGCCACAATACTCGTCGGGTATTCAGCTCCATTCAAAA